CAAACTCCATCCCAAAAAATGCCACTTGTTCCAGAAAGAGGTGCTTTACTTTGGTCTCATTGTAAGTGAGCATGGGGTGCGAACTGATCCTGATCAGGTGAAAGTCGTGTGTGATTGGCAAACACCAGACAATGTAGGAGAGTTAAGAAGTTTGTTGGGACTCTGTACCTATTACTGGAAGTTTGTGAAAGACTTTGCAACTATAGCTGCTCCACTACATGATTTCACCAAAAAAGGCCAGAAGTTGGAATGAACAGTTTCTTGCCAGCATGCTTTGAAGACAATGAAAGAAAAATTGGCCTCAGCTCCACTTTTAAAGCTTTCAAATCACTCACTGCCGTACATACTTTCAAGACTTTATGTCATTGAACAAGCTCTGCACTTTCAGTCTTGAGCGAACTATAAATTAACAGTAACAAGCGCTCACTAGTAGGGGAGGCTATACCTAATCCCTAAAAGTATATGATTTGGCTTTTTAGCTCATGTGCGTAGAAGGTGTCGTTTAGGTTGAAAATTCCAATTACATTTTTGAATTTCAAGACTAACTTTTCAAACAGAGGAATATAGAGTGAACCTGATATTGAATTTATTTTATATATTTCATTTGATCTTATGATGTTGATGCTTTCCATTTATCTGAATATCGATAAAGATCGTATGTTTTCTTTCTGTAGAAGATATCTTCAAGGTTTATTTTATTAGAAACCTCAAGGTACTTTATTTGTATAACATATCGATATCAGCTAGACGACCTAAGTGATGTTTCAGCATATTGTAATCAGTTTAGAATTAAGTTTTTTAATGTACTGATGTACGTTAATATGTATATCTAGTCAATTTGTTGTACAGAATTTTGGTTAACCTGCTTTTGATCAGAAGTTTTGTTGTTCGCTATTAAGCACAAAGCTACACAATGGGCTGTCTGTGGTTTGATAACCGCAGGTATCGAAAAAAGATTTATGATGTTATAAGCCCTCACGTTTATCGCTGAGATATGGGAGTGGGGAAGTGGTGGTAGATCGAGAGTTCTTATTCAAAGTACAGTTTATTCGCTTCATTTGTCTTTCTTATGCCTGACTAAAATTTTAATGTTGAATTTAAATACAGAAAGTCACAATTAAACCTCAGTATACTTATACAAAGTGATATTTTCATTTCCCTGAACATAGAATTAGATCAGGATTAGTTTGATAAAATATTTTCAATATATATTTTTAATTATATCATAGAAAAGCGACTGTTCTTACCGTGTAAAATGTAAAAGTTTATCATATTGGAAACTCTCTTGACCACCCGAAAAAAATATGAAAAAATTAAACATATTTTATATGAATATTGTCTTACCATTCTGAAATGTTCTTATTGCTAGGCTTATGTTCAAGAAACTCCCGTAGATTTGAGAACCGTCTATAAATGATGTAATTTGGTTGATCTGTTCTCGTTGACCTGAGAACGGTGGAAAAAAATAAGCAATTACTTTTCTCAGATTTGGCCAAGAAAACACCAGAAAAAACACCATTTTATGTATCTGTTCACACTACAATATAATACATTATTACTATACTCCGACTTTAAATAAAATAGAGAAAAGTATACTCTACAAAAAAAAAAAAAAATTACCAGGCCCTGATCGCAGACATCTTGCAGATCTTCTAAAATCCATACATCGGATATTATAGTGTGTGAAAAAAGGATCGTCAGGTGGAATGGCGAAAGGGAAACATTGTGAGTTGTGGCGGTCTTCTGGTGCACAGCAGTCAATTATTTTTCTTAGAGCTTTGGAATAAAACAATGCCAAATTACAATACAGCCCAGAAAACAAACAACTTTCACTTATACAGGTGTTTCAGACAGATACATATATCTGTAGAAACATAACTTGATTAACACTGCAGAAATAATACAATTACAGTATTGAACTCTTACTTGCTCTATATATTAGAAATCCAAAATTACATTGTATTCAAGACAACGTCGCCTAACATATTGTTACGACAGCAGAAGTCACGTGACTCTGGTAACACCTAATGAGTATCTCGAATGTTCCTGAAGGCTCGAGTGTTTGCCAGAGTGCTTGCCCTCTATTTTGTATATATATAAGACCGGCAAACTAAATTAACTCCTCATATAGCCTGTTTTCACGTGCACCCGGTCCTCCAGCACCTTACCCGAACCAACATTTCCCACCCCTACCTCAACGCCCCAAATTCAGCACCAGCGTCCCTGACCAACCTAGATCACAGCCTCCCCTCACCTTCGCCTCAGTTACCAAACATCCAGTTCAACCAACTCAGGAACTACATCCACCTTCAACCAACTGGCATGTTCTCCGCCCAACTGGCCTCATCGCCTTCATCGTCGATGTAATGTTTGCAGCTGCCAACCCAGCAGACGACAAAGCTACATTCCTGCACAACGTGTCCCACGCAGCCCGTCACCATCTCAAGGTTCGAGGAATTACTCCAGAATCAATCAATGAACAAATCTCAAGTAGGTGCCCTGATTATCGTTCATAGGTAAGTCACTAAATTATTTTACTTTATTGCATGTTAATATACAAGACGGTCTCAACTATAAGAAATATGAACTACTAGATCTAAGTAACAAAATAAACGCTTCAGTAATAACTATTAACGAAAGTTTACTAAATAGTAACTCTAATTTTCGCCTTCCTAACTGTAAAATCATTTCTAAACCTAAAGGAACACACACAAGAGGTATTGCATTATTACACGAAAATAATCTCGCCTTAACTCTCATCAACCACAACACTCCTACTTATCACGAACACATTCTTTGTAAAATCAAAACTCCGTCCCTACCTGATTTCACACTCCTAGCCATTTATATGTCACCCCATACAACTCCTGACATCACCTTTCTAAATACTATCAAGTTAAATTTAACAATGTCATTAACCTCGGAGACCTCAATGCTTGGCGCCCCTTACTTCAAGGATACACCACAAACACTTCTGGTAGGATTATCGCTAACTTCACAAGAATACATAACCTAACTGTTATTAATGACAACTCTCTTACCCACACACACCACAACGGAACACAAAGCATCATCGACCTTGCAATAGTCCCACCAGCAATAGTACACCTCACCAGTAATTTTAAAATACACGAAAATATCGGAGGAGACCATAATCCTCTCTCATTTAAAATCAGTAACCCGAATTGGTCAATACCTAACAGTCAAGTCCAGCACCATTCAAACATCTTCAATTTTAAGAAAGTTAACTGGACCATATTCAATCAATATTTAGACAACAATTTACCCGACCCCCTAACCTATGCTAACTCCGAAGAGAATATAGAGTATTACTACCAAAATATCACACAAGCCATAAGCAAAACTATAGACAAGTTAGTTCCAAAAAACTACACTAAAACCACGCCCAACCACTGGTCATTAACTCCCGAAATACATAAACTCATAATATCCAGACGCAAGCTCCATAAAGAATTCATCAACACTAAAAATTCTGCTATAAAAACCCAAATCAACTCTGTCAAAAACAAAATAGAAAAATTAATTAAAATTTAACAACGTGACAGTTGGAACAACTTTTGCAACAAGCTCGATAACCTTAAACCAGACCCTTCTACCTTTTGGAAAACTTTTAAAAGCATATGCCATGAAAATAATGATACTGGCAAAATATCATATAACAACCTCACAGCCTCTACTGATGAACAAAAAATAGAACTTTTTACACACTATTTCGAGAAAATATTTGTTACCCCATAGGACGCCAGATTCAGTAGTAAACACCAGGACAAGATCAACTCCTTTATCAACGCAAACTCCGCATCCTTTTCTACCTCTTTTCCAGCACCACATTCCGAGTTCACTTCGAAATATATCTACCCCTATAACCATACCTGAAGTTAAAATTCACCTGAAAAATCTCAAATAAAGCTCCCGGCGATGACAAAATCCCCAACATAGTTTTAAAAAAAAGCATCCCCCAAACTTCTGACACATCTCACTAACTTATACAATCTATCTCTTTTCTCGGGCTATCTCCCCAATGCATGGAAGTCAGCACTCATCACGGTTATCCCTAAAAAGGCACACAATCAATAAATCCAAGTGATTTCAGACCCATAAGCTTAATTAACTGCGCTGGCAAACTTCTAGAGAAAATTATAACAACAAGGTTATTATGGATGCTAGAAAACAGCAATACATTATTACACATCCAGAATGGGGGACACAAAAATAGACAGACTGCTGACCACCTCGTTTGACTAATTGAAACCACGTTTACAGGATTTAATAAGCTGCAGGCCACTATTGCCACATTCTTAGACATACTGAAAGCTTTCGACACTGTCTAGCACAACGGGCTTAAGTACAAGTTAATAAAGCACAAAATACCCATGTCATTCACAAAATGGATTTCTAACTTCTTATACAATAGATCGGTGAAAGCTAAAATCAACACTTCAGTCTCACACCCTTCACGTTTAACGCGGATGTACCGCTGGGGTCTGTCCGAAGCCCTCTGCTGTATACAGTCTTCGTTAGCGACCTTCCGCAGCCAACCACGCCTCTCACGCACGCCTCACAATCCGACGATATAGCCATATGGAGCACCTCCTGGGACCCTCCACTAGCGGCAAAGAAAATCCAAACAGACTTTGACAAAATCACACAGTTGTGCAACAAATGGAGGATAATACTTAATCCCACTAAAACCAAGGCAGTCATACTCTACCATAGATTGAACAAAAGACTTAAGCGTGTCAAGCTGGCTAAATTAAACCTCTACAATAACACGATCTCATTCACTAAATCCGCCAAATTCCTAGAAATAACCATCAACACTAAATTAACTTGGCACACGCATTTTAAGGAAATTTGCAAGAAAATTAAAACGAGAATAGCTTACCTCCACAAAATCAGTCACCACGCCCGCGGTTGTAGACCACAAATAATCATGTACATTTACAAAACATTCATCTGACCCTTATTAGATTATGGCGCAATGATTACATGTAACATGAATAATAACCAAGAGCAGATTTTACAAAAACTGAAAACAAAGTAATATGTCTCGCCTACCGCCTCCCTCACTACACACCTGCGAGCTACGTTGAAAAACACACATCACTACACACTAAACAAGACCGCATTTCTAAACTCGCCGCCAAATACTACAAAAAGTCACCCACCGAAATTCACTCACAGCCGAATTTCATAAAATTGCCGCCACCCCCAAACCATGGTGCAAATACCTATCCCCATATAACTTGATACACAACACCACAAATACCTATCCCCATACATCATGATACACAACACCACAAATACCTATCCCCCTATAACATGATACACAACACCACAAATACCTATCCCCATATAACATGATACACAACACTACAAATACATATCCCCATATAACATGATACACAACACCACAAATACCTATCCCCATATAACATGATACACAACACTACAAATACATATCCCCATATAACATGATACACAACACCACTACCACACCTCAATGATCCACAACACTACTTATAAATATTATGTTCTTTGCATAACCATTTCACTGTTTAGTATCTATCTAGGTCTTCAACCCGTCAATAGATCTTCACCTGGGCACTAGTCGGGCTTCTATTTGGTCCCGACTAGTGAAATTGGGTTTTCTCGGGGTATTCCCGTTTCCCCCCACATCAAACTCTTTGGCATTGGATCTATAGATCCCAGCCTTGGCCCTTGGATCCACTGATCTCCGCCAGGCCCTGTAAAGGCCCATTTGCTTCATTTTGTTTCAGTAACTTGTCCAAATCGGCTGCCGACTTGCTCATTCTTCAAAGATCAACCGGCCTCTGCTACGCCTTGGACTTGCCTTCACTTCCGCCTACTTGCCTGACCATCACAGGTATATATATGGGAATATATATGTTTTTTTTTCTTTTAATTAATTAATTAATTATTAGTACTTCTTCTTCGCCCATACGGCTCATTATTCCGCTGACCATTAATTGAAATTTAACCTCACGCCATGAGCAGGGTGAAGGACGATTGTTTAATCTTCGACCACCCTTGATTAGTAATTATTTCTTAGGAGATAAGTATTTTGAAATCAAAATAACTGCTAAGAACAACAACAACGACAGCATAGATAAATGAAGATAATCGAGTCAAGTCATAAGTAAAGTGTGTAAATCATTGTGAATTATAGCGTGTGTTTAAGTTAAAGTGACTGTGGAAATTAAGTGTAGTGCAAAGTTGTATTGAGAAAGAATAAACTAGTTTTATTTAAGAAAGAACTTGTATCGCTGAAGTTCTTCTGAAATAATTTTTACGGGTAATTAACAAACGACCAGAGGTGTAACAAACTGGTGTCAGAAGTGGGATAAAAAAATGGAAATGAGAAGCGACAAATCAAACTACAGCTTAGCAGATTTGATGACAATAATACAAGAGTAGCAAAAGAAACAAGAAGAACGATAAAAAACAAGAAGAGAGATTACAGCAGTTGTTGGAGGAAAAAGAAAAGAAACAAGAAGAGAGATTACAACAGTTGTTGGAGGAAAAGAAAAGAAACAAAAAGAATGAGAAAAGAAACAAGAAGAGAGATTACAGCAGTTGTTGGAGGAAAAAGAAAAGAAACAAGAAGAAAGAGAAAAGAAACAAGAAGAGAGATTACAGCAGTGGCAAATGGAACAATAAAGGAAACAGGAAGAAAGTCACAGTTGCAGGAAAGTCAGCAGCAACTACAGGAAAGTCAACAACAGTAGCAAGAA